TGATTCTAGAAAAAGCCAGCCACAAAAGACTGAGAGAGAGCAGCCAGTGAGGTAGGGGAGAACACACAGCAATGTGTTGTCGGGAGGTCAGGAGAACAGATACAGGAGGAGGGAGACCTCCCACTGCATGGCACCACTTGGAGGCTGCTGGGGACCTTGACAAGAGCCAGGATGGTGGGGACAGAAGCCAAAGGGAGTGGACTGATGAGTGAACAGGGCATGGAGGTGGAGTGTAGGAAGAAGAGAAATGGAGCATTTGGGGAGGGGAGTGTCGTGTGGAGAGAGAGGGGGAGAGAAGGGGGACAGACAGATCGAGGGATGGGGGCTTGGCTTTTGAAAGGAGCAGGGCCCTTACCTCCATTGTCCTGGAGGAAGGATGAAAGACTTGGATGAGGCGCAGGGGCTTCTGTCAGGAGGAGGAGGGGGCGGCCAACGATGGCCTCTGCTTTTTCAGTGGAGAATAAAGTCACCCGGGGGGCGCCTGGGTGGCTCAGTTGGTTAAGCGACTGCCTTCAGCTCAGGTCATGATCCTGGAGTCCCGGGATCGAGTCCCGCATCGGGCTCCCTGCTCTGCGGGGAGTCTGCTTCTCCCTCTGACCCTCTTCCCTCTCATGCTCTCTATCTCTCATTCTCTCTCTCTAAAATAAATAATAAAATAAAAATCTTTAAAAAATATATATATAAAGTCACCCGGTGAGAGTGAGGAGACCAAGGAGCACCAAGACCTCAGATCTCAGAGAACAGAAACTAGATTTCCCAGGACGTGTGAAGAGGTGAAGCCAGGCCACCCAGTGAGCATGGGCTATTTTCTAGAAAGGACTCTAGCCAAGTGTATTTCCCATAGCCGAAACTGTGTGGCGCATATGATTTTATGTCCTGCCTTTTCCCACTCACCGGAGCGGCAAAAGCATTTCCCTGTGCATTTATAAACTCTTTGCAAACATCACTTTTAAAACTTAGAAATAACCCTCAGAGTGGATGTTCCAAGGGTCACTTAACCTTTCCCCCTTTTATTGGACATTCAGATTGTTTCCTGGCAATAATACTGGAGTTCTGAGAGAGGTGGCGTGTGGTCTGGAGAAGAAAGGAGAAGGCAAGCTTCGAGGCAGAGCTGGGATGTCTGACACCCTGGCGCCTAGAATCCCATCATGGGAGCTTTTAGGGGCCTATTATTGGCAATTGGTGCTCCTGACAGGTCACATTCTGGGTTTTCCTGGACATGAGGACAAAGAATGGGACAGCAAGGCGTATCTCACTGGCTTCTCCAAGTACCCAGTGGTTCGGGTATTGAGCCTGGGGAAAATGGGGGGAAGGGCCGAGAGGGCTCAGAGGGCCAAACGTGTGATCCCTGAACCATTTACAGTTGAAACACATAGTGCAACAGCCGTGTTTAAGGTGGCAACGGGGCCCTTCACTTTGCCTGTTTTCCCCATAACACAAGTCTTTTCTGCATCCCACCCTTTCTGAAGGGGGCATTGCTCCAAGAGACCTAGCCTTGGGCAGCCTATCTAGGGCTCAGGTCCTCACCACAAAGCCCAGCAGAAGAGCACTCTCTCAGTTGTGTGAGAACAAGGCGGGCCTCCTGAGACAAGGGGCTCACCCACCCAGCAGAGGCCGGGAGACCACCGCTGGACATATCCTCCAGGGGATACTGCCCTGGGTCGAGACTGTTCTGGGATTCGCTGAAGCCCCTTCCAGCTGGAGGTTCTGTGGTTTGACAACGCAGCATTCACAGAATCCTACTATGAGCCAGGGACAGAAAAGTAACCCCCGTGGGCAAAGTGCCTCCTGTGTGCCAAACACCGGGCTTCCCGTGCATGATCTCACCTACTGTCACAGCCTGCCAGTGAGGCAAGTATCATCACCCCGGGGGAGAAAGGGGAAACAAGCCAGGACTGGGCCGGACTGCTTCTCTCTGCTTTCCAGCCCTGGGCTTCCACCACAGCATGGGGTGACCGATGGAGACTCCCATAGCATTGCCCTTTCTTGTAGCATTTGTACCTGATAAAGCAAGGTTCCTCATGGTGGGCTCCAGGCACCAGGTGGCACTGGCAGCTGTGATGAGAGTTCGAGAACCCTCTCTTTGGACTGGTGGGGGCAGAGCTGGAGGTCAGAGGCTGACAAGGTCTTGTTTGTGTGTGTTTATGGGATTTGAGTTTCTGATGGACAATAATCACTGCCGGGCTTCCCAACTGGAACGGGAGTGGGCGCAAGGCCAGGGCTGGCCACCCTCTGGGCAGGTATAAGAGCCAGGGAGGAGTGCCTGGAGCCTGGCGGGGACAGAGGGGCCAGACGCTGCCAGGGGGACCAGGGTGCAGAGCTAACGCTGCTTCGGACAGACCGCCGGGTGCAAGATTGGTTCTGGAAGTGGCCCCGTCTCTGGAGAATCTGGGAGATGAGCTAAGGAAACCCTCAGGCTGGACAGGCTGAGGGGAGGTTGCCAGAAGCCAAGGCTCAGCAGCGTAAGTACATTCTTTCACAGTTCCTGCCTTTTTCTTCCCCGCTGAGCTGCTTCTTCCCCCCACTAAGTGACTAAGTGACCAAGTGTCAGGAATTTGAGCCCTGGATTTCTCAGTGGCAGTGTGTGGGGGTGGATAGCAGCAAGCACTGTCATTTACCCACTGCTCACCAAACCCCAGGCGCTCTGGGTTATCTCATCGAATTGATAACAGAAGGATGGAGACTGGGCTTGGCATCCTAGTTCTTCAGGCATTATCTTTTTTTTTAAGATTTATTTATTTATTTATTTGGAAGAGCGAGAGAGTGCACGCATGCACGAGTGGGGAGAGGGGCGGAGGGAGAGCATCTTCAAGCAGACTCCCCGCTGAGCAGGGCTCCATCCATGACATCACGACCTGAGCCGAAACCAAGAGCTGGACCCCTAACCGACTGAGCCACCCAGGTGCCCCAGGCATTATCTCCTTTTACTCTTACAACAGCCCTATGAGGTGGATATTAGTATTTTCCTGAAGAGGAGACTGAAGCACAGAGATGTTAAGTAACTTGCCCAAGGTCACATAGCAAGGAAGTGGCAAAACCAGGATTTGAACTCCCTGACTCCAGAGCCTGTACTCGTCACCACCGTGTTATACTAGTGGGGCTGTGGTAAGTCTCTTCCACTTTCTGAGGGGTCATTTCCTTATCTGTAATTTAAGGTTATAAAACTTGATGATCAGAAATATATTACCCTGAGATTTACTAAAGATACCTTGAGATGGGTCAGCTTTAAGCACCAGGAAGCCTTGTTGGAAACATTATCGAGAATTATGGGGGTGCCAGGGTGGCTTAGGCTGTTAAGCATCTGACTTTGGCTCCAGTCATGGTCTTGGGGTCCTGGAATCGAGCCCCACGTTGGGTTCCCCGCTTAGAGGGAAGTGTGTTTGTCCCTCTCCCTCTCCCTCTGCCCCTCCTCCTGCTTGTGCTCACTCTCACTCTCTCTCTCTCTCTCTCAAATAAATAAATAAAATCTTAAAAAAAAAGAAAAAAGAACTATATGGGAGTGCCTGGCTGGCTCAGTCAGAGGATCATGCGACACTTGAGCTCAGGGTCGTGAGTTAGAGCCCCATGATGGGTGTAGAAATTAGTTTAAAAAAAAAAAAGAACTATGTGTATGCCTTTTGATTTCAGCATTCAACTTTTGGAATTTATCATAAAGGATATAATCAGATTTATGAGCAGGGAATTTCATTACAGTTTTGCTTATAATCACAGAAAATTAGAAGCAAACAAAATGTCCAACAGTTGAGGAATAAATAATACATCTTATGATGAAATAATATGTAACCATTAAAAATCATGTGTTCAAAGGGTGCTGAATGTCACTGGAAAATTCTCATTTTTTTTTTTTTAAATCTTTTTTCAATACACAGCCCCTAGATTTATTTCTCAGTGACCAGGAGGGAAAGTCTCTCACGTACTCGAAAAAGATTTTGCATTATTATTCAGACCTGCTGTTGTTCTTAAGTTTCTCGGAAAATTCTCATTTTTTTAAAAGATTTTATTTATTTATTTGAGAGAGAGAGAGAGCATGAGCGGGGGGAGGGTCAGAGGGAGAAGCAGACTCCCCGCTGAGCAGGTAGTCCGATGTGGGACTCGATCCCGGGACTCCAGGATCATGACCTGAACCGAAGGCAGTCGCTTAACCAACTGAGCCACCCAGGCGCCTGGAAAATTCTCATTTTTAAGTGGAAAAGGCACTTTATAAAATTATACATGGTATGATCTATTTATAAAAATATGCGTATATATATTAAATAAATGAAAAAGACTGGAAAAAATACACTTAAGGGTTGAAAGCTTATCTCTGAGAGATGAAATCATGAATATTTTTGTATCTTTCTTTATTCTTTTCTAGATTCCTCAAACTTTCTATAATATACATGCCTTACTTTTTAAATTAGAAAAATGAAGATTTTTTTAAAAAATGAAGATTTTGTTCATTTGTTGTTCTTTTGGTTCAGGCTTGGCTCCTTGCGAGCTTCTGTTATAATACAGAGGGAACTGAGTTGCCTGCAGTCAGTATTGTGAGGGCCTCTGAGATGATCTCGTCCAACATGTTTCATGTGGGAAAACAAGCCCAAGGGTGCAAGGGACTTACCCAAGGTCAGAGAAAGAACCAGAGACTCCAGGCCCCCAGCCTGGAGCTCAGGCATCTGCCCAAAGGGCCAGAATCCCTAGGCCAATCTTCTAGAAGGGTAGGGAGATGGAAGGGAATCAACTAGAACTACTGGGTGAATTTAATGCGTGTTAGTTGCTAACTCCAAGTGAGGCTTTGAATGCGGAGGGTAGCTGACCTCACAGACCTACCCAGTGATGATTAGTCCTGGGAGTGACGGGGGAGAGAGAGAGAAAGAGCAAAGGGCAGCTTAGGTGGCCCGGAGCTAGCAGGGTGTGCCCCAGGCCTCTCCCTCTCATTTCTAGGCCTTGCCTGCCCGCCCGCAGTACTCCCTCCCCCTGGGAGGGCTGAGGACTCTTACTACCAGCTTCGGGCCCCGGACAGAATGAAAGGTCGCTGGCGTTACACTCGGCTGGTAAGGGGCCCAGCTTGGGCTGGGGAGTCAGGTCAGCAAAGGTGGGGGAGGCCAGATCTCTGGCAGGGTGGGGTCTGGGCTAGGACTGGAGGCAGGCCGGAGCTTTGTTCCCTTCCAAGTCCCTCTCCGGCCTGCCTAGAGTTCAGAGTTCAGGAACCCCAGGGCCCCAACCCCATGGTCCTGAGACCCTAACAAGCATAGACCGCTGTCTCCAGCCAGATGGAGCTCTGTCCAGAAGCCCCATGCAGCTAGGACCCCTTCCTTAGGCCTGAACCTGGGTAACAGAAAAGCAGTGTCCTGGTCATTTCTCATCCTGGAGGAACCTCTCCTTATGAAAAGTCCTCAAGTCATTGTGCGCAGGTGCATGTGTACACACGCACGCACGCACAAACACACACATACCCTCAAACATACACTCTGGACCAGAGCGGAAGCTCAACTGAACGAATGCATAAACCAAGACACATCCACACTGACACACACACATATTTGTACAATCCCAACTCACACTCACAAACATGTTGACAGGTAAACAGACGAAGTTACTCAACACCTTCTCACACTGATTTGCCAACACAAGTCTATTTTAAGCTGATACACACCTTTGCATGGATGAACACACATCTTACACAAACCTGCACGTGCTTTCTCAGCTGCTACATGCACTGTCTCCCTGGCTGACAGGGAAGCCTCTGGCCCTCATTTCTTTTCTTTGTAAAATAAGGATAGTAAGGATCCTAAGAATTCTTAGGATTCTTGGGAAAATACAGAGAGATCATGCACAGTGAGCACTCGGCCAGGCCTGGTCAAGGGTGTGCTGACCAACATCGGCCACTATCGGTATTGTTATTGTTATGCTTATTGATAGTAGTATTATTGTTTTGGGTGCAGACACACAGGGTCACAGCTCGCAAGGCTGGGCCAGGCCGGGCTGCCTCCTGCCTTCTCTCCTGCCCCTGAGCTTAGAACTTGAACCTTGGCACCCACTCTGGATCTAGAGCAGGCAGGCAGACAAACCACAGAGTCCATGGCCACATCTGATGGGCATGTGTACCTCTGACCTTCGGCTGGCAGGGGCCAGGGTGGGAGCCGGTCACAGGCAGGGGGTGGGTGGTGGTGGCAGGGGCCTAAGCAAGGGTGATGAGGCAGCCGAGGCTCTTGGGCTCTGGAGACATGGAAGCCGATGTCTCCTTGTCCCTCTTGGTGTCTTCACAGCCCAGCCAGGTGGAGGACGCTCTGTCTGCGGAGGAGGGTGAGGAGGAGGAAGGGGGGACAGCCCCAGCCGCAGCCCCCGTCTCAGCTCCTGCTCCGGAAGATCCCGTGGGGCCCCAACTGGCAGAAGCCAGCCAGGTTCTAGGAGCCTCGGAGATTAAGCAGGTTCGGGCACAGGGCCAGGAGCCTCAGGGTCCCACCCTCCTGCCCTACCCCAGCCAGGTCCAGGGACAAATGGGGTCACTCCGGCTGTGTCCCAAAGCTGGGGGGGGCGGGTGGAAGGATGAGGTAGGAAGGATTGGGGGAGGGATTCAGCATCTCATGTATTCTCCAGCCTCTAGGGACCAAGGTGACCAAGGGGAGAGAGTCCTGAGGGAGACCTGACCTTGGTTCAAATCCTGGCTCTGCCACTTACTCCCTGTGTGGGCTTTAGGCAAGTGGCTTCACCTCCCTGAGCCTCATTTTCTTCAACCGTAAAATGGGAATAATAATCCCTCTCTAAGGGGCCCTTGGAAACAGTAAACTCCGGTGGCACCCATAAAGCACCATGCTTGTGTGAGCGGGGCCTGTCCAACTTCAGTCCTTCTGTGACCCTGAGGATAGGGTGGAAGGAGCGGGGGAGGACAAGGGTCCTTGCTCACCTCCAGCCCTGTCCTTAGCTCAGCCTCCACCTCCCGCCACGAGTCACCGGACATCCCTGGAGCCTGGCCTTCTGCACGTCGAGAGATGGCTTCAGCCTGCGCAGCCTGTACAGGCAGATGGAAGGCCACAGTGGGCCGGTGCTGCTCGTGCTGAGGGACCAGGATGGCCAGGTGAGCTGGGCCCAGGGCCCCAGCCTGAAGCCCTGGGGGTGCCCAACCACACACCAGCAGGCCCTGCCCCAGGGCAGCCTCAGGGGCGGGAGGCAGAGGTGATCGCCCGTCACTTGTAAGGGACAATGATGATGACATAGAGACCTCCCCCATTCAGAGCCATTCCTTCCTTCATCCCCTAATTCATCCATTCAACACATGTACATTAAGCACCGTCTGTGTGCGAGCTTAGATGTGGACAAGAGCAAGGTCCAGGCAGAAGTGGTTCCAGCCCTCTTGGAGCTACAGGCCTAATGGGGAGGTGGGCCAGAGGTGAAGCAAATAAATAACTGGGGGGACATCTTAAGTGGAGGAGCTGCACCTTCATGATCCGTTGATGCTTTGAAAACATCCCCCGGTTGGTTGGGGGCTAAGAGTGAAAGCTGGCTTTGAGGAGGTAGCCACAGACCTTGGGAAGGCGCTGTCTCAGATCCCTGTGGTCTCGCCAACGGGGGGGGGGGGTTTTGCCCGGCCCCCCAGAAAGGGGCCAGGGGGGGGGGGGAAATGCTGGTTTCAAGTGCTCTTCCATGGGAGGAACATGTTAGAGCTGGGAGAGATCTCGAGGGTCCCTGAGGACCCTCACGTGGGCAGGAGCTCCTTCCATCCTCAAGATGCCAATCAAAGGGGCGCCTGGGTGGCTCAGTTGGTTAAGCGACTGCCTTCGGCTCAGGTCATGATCCTGGAGTCCAGGGATCGAGTCCCACATCGGGCTCCCTGCTCAGCAGGGAGTCTGCTTCTCCCTCTGACCCTCTTCCCTCTCGTGCTCTCTATCTCTCATTCTCTCTCTCAAATAAATAAATAAAATCTTTAAAAAAATAAAAAAAAAAAGATGCCAATCAAGGGCTTTCCACCTCAAGGCCGCAGAGCTCATTTCCTCAGGATGGAGCCCCTTCCTTGGCAGAATGCTGCTGACTATGAGGAAGTGACTGCTTATATTAAGCCAAAACCTACTCCCCATGGCTGCCTCCCAGTGGTCCTGCCTCTGCCCCTCAGCTCTCGGTATAAGAGGGAAAACCTGCAGTCCACCAACTATCCCACAGGAGAAAATGGCTAAGTGAACTATGGTTCTGCGACCTAGTGAAATATTACCAAGAGCTGGGGAAAATGATGTAGAGCCATAGCCACTAAAAGTATTGTTTTTATTATTTTTATTTATTTAAGACTTTATTTTTATTTTTTTAAGTAATCTCTACATGCAACGTGGGGCTTGGACTCACAACCCTGAGATCAAGAGTTGCATGTTCCCCCAACTGAGCTGGCAGGCACCCCAAGTTTTTGTTCTTAAAGCAGGATATGAAAGGCACTCTTGGGCCAATGGAGAAAATGTATTATGAACTAGATACTAGATAACATTATGGAATTGCTCTTAATTTTCTTAGGTGAGATGATAGTATTGTGGTCATACATGAGAAAATCCCCGTTCTTAGGAGCTGAACCATTTAGGGGTAAAAGGGTTATAATATCTGCAACCTACTTTCAAACAGAACACCCAAAAATATAAGGAGAGAGAAAGTGAACATGGCGAACACATTCACGATTTTGAATACACATGGAGGGTATCTGTACCCTGATTTTACTTTTCTGTGTGTTTGAACTTTTATAAAGAAAAGTGAAGGGGGGAGGCAGCTTACAAAACACAGGTACGGGGCACCTGGCTGGTTCAGCTGGAAGAGCATGCAACTCTTGATCTCAGGGTCGTGAGTTTGAGTCCCACCTTGGGTGTAGAGATTACTTAAATAAATAAAACTTAAAAAACAAAAACAACAATACAGATGTACTATAGGATCTGGTTTTCTGCATAAGAACATATACACTGGCATTAAACAGATGCTGGAAGGAAAGGCACCAAAACGTTAAGAATAGTTACCTTGGGGAGCAGAAGGGGGAATTGGAATATGGCTTTAGTTTCTCTTTCTGCTTGTCTATAACTTCTAATACTTTTCTACAAGGATTACTTTTACAAAATAGGTACGTTTAAGAAAAAGTAGGAAGACGCCAGCAAGAGTTCTTCCTTGGGGAGTGTTAAGGGAAAGGATACATGTTGATGGGCCCATGCGGCCCTCCCCACCCCCCAGCTCTGTCCCATGCTCCCCGCCCAGCTGGGTGAGCCTACATCACCAAGCCTGGAGAGTGGGGTTGCCTCTTCTCCCCGCGAGCTGCCGCAGCAAGCTCCTCTGCTTTTCAGATGTTTGGAGCCTTCTCTTCCTCAGCCATTCGACTCAGCAAAGGCTTCTATGGTACTGGAGAGACATTCCTCTTCTCCTTCTCCCCACAGCTAAAGGTGATGTTCCCAGCCTTCTAGGGAGGGGGGAGGAGGGCTATGACAAAGATCCTGAGGCCCCAGTGGCCCCTAGCTCTATCCCCTTGCCAGGGTGCCTGGTATTCCTCCATCTTTCCACAAAGGGAGTGGGATAGGCCAGTGGTGGGCAGCGCATCCCCCTTGGCCCTGTTCATCTTCATTTCTTACAGTGCTCAGGAGGTCCCTGGCCACCACAGACTGGCTCATAAAGGAAGAGCGGTGTTGCTCACCCGATGCAGGCTGCAAAGACAAGATGGGTCCGAGTGCAAGTAGATCTGTGGGTGCACAGGTGGGAGAGGAAGACAGACACATCCAGTGACTTCAGTCTTCTTAGGAAGTGTAGGCTGAGGTCATCGGCTAAGAGTGAGGTTGGCGGAGAGAGCGTACAGACTGAGCAGAGGGAAGGTGTCAAATCGTCCTTACGGGAGTGGAGAGGGAGGCCTACTGGAGAGAACCAGAGAAACAGAAGGACAGCTAGGCAGCGTGAACTGCAAGTGGGGAACGTCAGCTTAAAGGCAGTCTAGTCCCCTGGTGTTTTTCCGCCAGCTACATTCGGCTCCTTGGGTTCCGGCGTGCAGAGTGTAGCTGGGAGGGCTCCTCCAAGATGGGGCTTCCGCCAAGGTGGTGTGACCGAGCGAGAGAGGGAAGCGGAAGCCGAAGGGAGTGGGAATGTAAAATGGACCACCGAACCTAGTCTGGACCAGTGGGGAAGGGCAGCCAGGGAGGCTGAAGGACAATGAGACGAAGACGAAAACAACAGTTGAGAGGTGGCCTTGTGGTCAGACACTCGGAGCAAGGACACCAGTCGAGCCACGTGTTGGAATAGAAGATCCAAGAGAGAGGGCCATTGGAAACAGAGCGGGAAGGACAGGTTCCTGGGTGTGAACAGAGGGGACAGTGGCTGAGGTGGGGGTAAGAAGTCTCCGGTACTGGAAAAGGAAGGGCGCTGAGGGCAGGCACGGGATGGGTCTGTGTGGACGGTGAAGTTCACCGAGGACACTAGCAGGAATGAGGGAGGAGGGAAGGAGGGTGGGACAGAGCTCAAGCCTCTAATTCGTGGTGACTGGTGACTAGGAGATGGGTGAGTGACAGAGACAAGACTGGTGGAGTCAGAGGGTACTTGCTGCTGGAGAGCAGGGCTTTTGAAGGAGGGAGGGGGATGGTTAGTCGCCAACATCTCCCATGTAAAACTTTTCCATCTCTGAGCTATTTATTGAATAAAACGACTGAGCGCTGTAGGCTTGGCACGAAGCGCACTACTTTTACTACTCATATAAATAGTAGCAGCTAACTGGGTACTCATGTACCACCTGCCAGGCACTATTCTGAGACGTTCACAAATTAGCGCATTTAATCATGACAACATTCCTCTGAGGGACATACTATTATTGGCCCCGCTTAACAGTTGAGGAAATGGAGGCACAGAGAGATCGAGTGGCTTGCTAGTCAGTGGCGAGGATGAGATGCAGAAACAGGCCCTGGGGCTTGAACTCAGCCACGGCGCTAGGCTACCCCTCTAAATGACGGAGATGCTCTCAGGCTTGCAGAAGAGAGGCAATCACAATATAGAGCGATAAGGGCTGTGGAAGAAACCACAAGGAAGAGCACCTCTATCAAATGGGAGTGGGGAGATCAAAGGAGACTTCCTAGAGGAGGAGCTTCTTGAGTTGGATCTTGATGGACAAACAAGATCACCAGGTGATGAAGGGCATGGGGAGCAGTCTTCTTGGAGCATGTGCAAAAGCACAGTAATTGGAAAGGAGACAGTGCCCATTTAGGAACCCAAGAGATGAATGAGTAGGGGGTCAGAGTGTGTCTGCACTGCCAGAGCATGCCCTCACGATATACTTGTTCAACGGATGAAGAACTAGTCCCAGGTGTTTTTGTTTGCTGAGAGACCTCCCCTCCAATGCATGGACCATGAACCTACAGATATACTCAGCCACACAATTATTTGGTCCCATGACAAGGAGGTCACAAGGAGCTATGGACTCCCTGCTAAAAGCAAAACACAAGGTATCTATTGCATTGTCTCCATCAGCCAGCCTGGTAATCTTTTCAGGAAACAGGAAAGGGGTGCGTTGTTCTAGTAAACCCGTGCTGGATTCTAATTACCACTTGCTTTCCTGTATTCACATGCTAGAATTCTAAAGTTCTCGGATTTTCCTCCTACTACACTGACTACTCCTTGGCAGAATCCTTTGCTGGTTCCTCCTCACTTCCCCAACCTTTTGACATCAGAGGGTCCCAGAGCAAAATTTTTGGTTCTTGTCTCTTCTCTACCCTCATTTTTTTCAAGGTCTCATGCTGATGGCCTCTACCCCTGAACCTGAAACTGACATATATCCAACTACTACCAAGAGTTGCTGCATGGATCTCAAGCCCGGCATTTCAAGCCTCACAGGTTCCAAACCGAGCTCCTGACTTTGCCCCCAAATCTGCTCCTCCTGCCCATCTTCCCCAATGAAGTTAATGGCACCTACATCTTTCCTACTGCTGAGACCAAAAATTTTGGGGTCTTTGATTCCTTTCTGTCACACCCTACACCTGAGTTGTCAATGAATCCTGATGGCTCTGCCTTCTCTATCTATATCCAGAACCCACGACTTCTCACCATGTCCTTTGCTGTCACCTGGTTCAAGCCAGCATCATTATTTGTCCTTGTTCCTGCTATACCCTCCTAAAGGGTCTTCCTGCTTCCACCTCAGTCATCCCAATAGCTAGAGTGTTCCTTTTTTTTCCCCTAAAGATTATTTTATTTATTTGTTTATTTATTTGAGAGAGAGAGAGAGAGAGAGAGAATGAGCAGTTGTGAGGAGGGGCAGAGGAAGAGGGAGAAGCAGACTCCCTGCTGAGCAGGGAACCCAATTCAGGACTTGATCCCAGGACTACAGGACCATGACCTGAGCTGAAGGCAGACGCTTAGCAGACTGAGCCACCCAGGGGCCCCTAGAGTGTGCCTTTTAAAAGGTAAATCATAGCATGTCATTCCTTGGCTCCAAGCTGCCAATGGCTTTCTTTCTTGGAGAAAAGCCAGTCTTTATAATAACCTACAAGGCCTGTGCGCCTGGGTGGCTCAGGCCTTAACCCTATCTGCCTTTGGCTTGGGTGATGATCTCGGGGTCCTGGGATCGAGCCCTGCATCAGGCTCCCTGCTCAGTGGTGAGCCTGCTTCTCCCTCTTCCCACCACCAGCCACCCCGCCCCACCGGTTGTGCTCTCTCTTGCTATCTCTCTGTCTCAGATAAATAAATGAAATCTTAAAAATATATATAACAACCTACAAGGCCCTACATCTTCTGGCCTCTCTCTTATGTTGTTTCTTGTTATTCTTCCTTTCCCTCTCTCTGCTCTAGCCACAGTGAGCTCTGAGCTGGCCATTAAACATGCAGGCCTGTTCCTACCTCAGGGCCTTTGCATATGCTGTTCTGCCTAGACTGCCTTCTACTGGATCACCACATGGCTCAGGTCTCACCTCCTTTAGGATTCTGCTCAAATGTCACCATCACAGAGAGGCCCTCTGTGACCAACTAATTTAAATTTATAACATTCCATTCTTTGAAAACTCTTCTTGTCCTTCTCTACTTTTTTATCCTTAGCATTTGTCACCACCTAACAGTCTATTTATTTTACTTAGTTACCTGCCTCCACCTACTAGAATGGGAGTCCCATGAAGGCAGGAATTTTTGTCTATTACATTCACCATCCCACCCAGTACATAAAACAGTGACTGGTACTAAAGGCTAAAAATAATTAAGTAAATGAATGAATAAAATTTTTAAAAATTTGAAAAATTGTTGAATGAAATTAATTCTTTTTAGAGGGGCTGTCTTCTCAGCCCCCGTTATGGAATCTTGGTTTTTTTGTTTTGTTTTTTTTTTGTTTTTGTTTTTAATTGGGTAATCTTTGCCTGTCTTTGGTCTTTTGACACCTCTTGTGTTCTTTATGAATTCTCAGTGGCTCCTTGATGGTGATTCCAAATAGCACCATGAACAGGGTCTTCGTTTCTTCCATAGCAATATTTATCTTACTCCTTCAAGTCTGAAGGTCACATTCTTCGATGAAAGTAGAGCAGGAATTGAATGGTTCTGTCTTTTCATGGTCACTTGTTAATATTATCTTATCTCTTCTGAGCCCAGGGTTTATTTTATTAGTCTGTTTTCTTGCTAAAAACCCTTTGGCTGCTCATAGCATTTTTTTAAAACAACTAACTACAGGCAGTAATATGCAATACATTCATGGCCTTCTAGAAATATTTTTATTAGCCCAATTGACTCTTGAATAATTTATTCATTCAACAGACATCTATACCATGCCTTGGGAATATTGCTGGGAATCAAGACCGCCCTCACAGACCTTACATGGTAGTGGAATAAGCAACGGCACATTGGCACATGAACAGGGTCATCTCAAAGAGTGCTAAATGCCGAGGAAAAGGAAACAGGGCCTGGGAGGAAGGGCTACTTTAGACAGGGTGCCCCAGGAAACTTTTCTGGGATGACATTTGGGCTGAAAGATGAGAAGTGGGCCATTTCAGGATCTGGGGGAAGAGCATCCTCAGTAGAGGGATCAGCAAGTGCGAAGGTCCTCAAGCAGGAATAGCTTTGGGTGTCCCAGGGACAGCAAGGCCAGGGTAGCTGAAGTGAAGTCAGTAAGGGGGTGAAGAGGTCAGAGAGGAAAGCAGCGGTCAGAGCAGGCTGGGTTTCTGGCTGGAGTGAGCAGTTGGATTGTATTCCCATTGCAGCGGGATTGCAGCAGGGAGCCCTCGGAGAGCTTTAGGCAGAGGAATGGTAATATTGATCACAAGGCAGAGCTGAGATGGGCTGTGGGCAGGTGACTGGAAGCAGGGACAGGTAAGCTGTGAGCAGTGAGGAGTGACTATGGCGGGGATTGGGTGGGCACAAGTGGAGATAGACGCGACAGAAATGGGGGTAGTCTGGCTGTGTCTTTGGGGTGGGGCCAAGACCTGCTAACGAACGGAGTATGAGGCAGTGTGGGAAGTGGGTAGGCTCCAGGGAGAGAGGAGGAAACAGCTCATGGCAGAATCAGGGCCCAGCTCCTGACCAGGAACTTCCCCCTCCTCTCTCCAGCTTTGCAAGCAGGATGCTATAGAGTTCTCGTCTGTTTCTAGAACAGGGGGGGGCTTGGGTTGTGGGAACTGAGACTGGAAGGCAAGAGGAGATGAAATCCGGGGAGAATGGGAAGAAATCTCAGGGGCCAGGGTACTTCCCGACGCTTAGGTGGGGCTTGGGCCTGGATGTTCCGTTCCCTCCACGACACTGCCACCCAGTGGTGTGGAGTCAAACTGCAAGGGCAGGACTCCCCGCAGTAACCCAGCTTTTCTCCCGTTATCCCAGGTCTTTAAGTGGACAGGAAGCAACTCTTTCTTTGTGAAAGGAGACTTGGATTCACTGATGATGGGCAGCAGCAGGTGCGTGTCTCAGTCCTCCCAGGGTCTGGAGTCTTGGGGTAGTCTGTGTTCTGGTCCCTCCCCCATCCGGAAACGCTGGGCTGGGGCTGTCCCTGATAAGATGAAGCTGGTGGTGAACTTCCAGGCCTTTCCCTTCAACATGGCCCAGGTGTTGCCTAGTCCCCCAGCCAAACCCCTCAAGCCTCCTCTAAACACCGAGGGGGTAGAATGGCATGGACTACCCTCCAAAGTGTTTACAGTTGATGACAGCTTAGTCTGAATGCATGTGATTTGGGGAACAGCATTCTGCATCGTTGGATGAGGCTAGGGTCAAGGGATGGGAGGCTAGATCAGGGAACATAACTCACTGGAGGAAGGCAGGCATCTGCTGAGGAAACGTGTGTGTGTGTTTTGGAGGGATGAGTGGGTTAGGAATAAAAAGCCTTACTCCTGGTGAGACCTCCAAATTCAGGCAGAATAAATCTTATCTTGAGGGCAAAGATGAAAGCGGTGTTTGACGAGTACCAGGCAAGTTCTTTGCCCTCCCAGCTCCCTGAAGAGCCCCTACTGAGACAGTTTGGCACAGAACATACAAGCCATTGCTGATTTGCAGTAACCCACTTCCCAGCCCCAGCCTGGTTTGCTGTCCAATGAGGGGATCAGAATGGATGCTTTCTGAAGTGTTTTGGGCTGAGTCCATGCCTTAAGATTCACTCCTTTGATTAAGCATTGCCATCTTTAAAATGTTCCATATGTTCTAAAACTGGACTGTGGACAGTGGTGCACCACTGTATATATTTATTAAAATCATTTAACTATTAAAAAAAATGCTCCAAATCCTATGGGGAACAACATGTGGAGTTCCCAACAATTCTGGATATAAATCAGTTTACGGAGATAAAACAGGCAAAGCTGAGCTGTGGTCATGGTGAGGCCAAAGGCTGATGGTGTAGACCTGGAAGGCCAATATCCAGGAGTGAGTCATGCCGAGATCTTCCTCTTCTCTTTAGTGGCCAGTTTGGGCTGTGGTTGGATGGAGACTTGTACCATGGGGGAAGCCACCCTTGTGCAACCTTCAATAATGAGGTGCTGGCCCGGCAAGAGCAGTTCTGCATCAAGGAGCTGGAGGCCTGGGTCCTGAGCTGATGCAGCTTTCTGAAACAACAAATGCTTGGACCTGCTCATGAACACCATCTAGACCCTCCTTAGAGAGGGTTGCCCATTTTCTCCAAAACCTGGATGACTATGGCTGTGACCAAACCTCCCTGTGGCCTGGGGACCCGAGACAGTCCTGGAAGCAAGCAGTGTTCTCCAGGACAGGTGACTCTGGAGTGAAAGGTACTCACACCTCATCTGAGCAGCACAAAGACCCTCATGACATTTCTTTATTTTTTAAAGTAGGCTCCATGCCGAGCATGGGGTTCAAACCCATGACCCTGAGATCAAGAGTCCCATGCTCCACCAACTGAGCCAGCCAGGTGCCCCCCTGAAATTTCTTTTTAGAAATTATACAACTAAAACATGTTGACTGTAGAAAAAAAAGAACACTTTAAAAAAAATTAAAATTGCCTAAAATTGAACCACTCCCCCAAAACACTAACTTTTTCATTTTCATATACATCCTTCTAGACAATTTTCCATGGAGATATATATATTCGATTCTGGATGTTTTAGAAATCATTTTAACTTCATACTGTCGAACCACAGACACCTGGGCTCAACTGGTGAAACTACTCCAGTAGCATCTTTCTTTTTCTAGAACATTGAGGGCTTCCTGTCGGCCACCAGCATACGGGGTGCTTGCAAATCTCTAATTTCACAAGGAAGATATGAAAGCAGCAAATGAGCAATATGCCTATTTGGATAAAGCAGTTGAATCTCTGTAGATGGGAACCTAGGGCAGGTTAAAAAGGAGGAAAGATATGTTTCCTAACACAAGAGCTCAGGAAATAAGAGACATCCATATCCTATCCCATGACAATGCCTGCCTCCTGTCAGAAAACCAAATAACGTAAGTCCTGTTAAATATCATCCCCCCTCTTACAAACCAAACATAGCGTTGACATAGTCAGACGCATCTGGGTAGATTCCTAGACACATTTCATTTGCAGAACAGGGTGCAGACTGGGCACACACGTATGAGAGGACGTCATTAAGGAAAACACCTTTGGTTTCAAGATGGAGATACATTCATGAAGCTTTATTGCAGCTATTTTCCTCACCCAAACGAAGTAACAAATCATTTTTCTTACATTCTCAAGGTGACAACAGTTCAGTAACTCTAGAGGTTAAGTTGTTAAAATCTCAGTTTTTATACAAATAGTGAAGGTGTTTGTTAAGAAAAATTTAACCTTTAAATGGCACATGGTTCTGATAATTAAAACAGTTGCAAAGAGCATAAAGTGCAGCTGAATTATATGTAAAGGGTGCAAACAAAGTTGATTAAAGTTATTTCTCAGATAGCACAATGATACAATGTTGAAACCATAAAATTCCAGAGTAAACCACAATGACTTAAAGACAGGAGTTGCAGAAATAAAACAATCTTAGCAGAAAAACATTACATTCTTGACCTTGAGTCTGGATACACTAACTCTGAGCCCTACAGTTCTCCCCACTGAATGTTTCAGAGGTACCTCGGCCAACACAGATATGACTCAGTCCCATGGCTGACTTCACTTGTGCTTCTAGGAGCCCACATATGGACACATCCTCACCCACACAGCATTATGGTGGAAGTGGGAAGGGTTTTAATTATTCTCCTATGAATTAGGGTCAACTCTTGATCATCTACTGGGGGATGGAGGAGGGTGGTGGTGGTTATACAGAATGGCAGACATCTCTAATACTTTTCAGCCTAGTGTCAACAGAACAGAACTTGGTTACACAGTAGAAGGTAGCAGCATTCCTAAGACTGTGGATAATCTGCTGCCTATAGTCTGAGTTCCTTCCTTCCTCCCACTTGCTCTTGCCCGGAGCCAGGCCTGGCCCCCCCAATCCCGGCCTGCCTTGGAGGCTTTTGTAAGGGAGTGTCAAAGCATAAGATGTTAAGGGTTCATGACTCCCATTCCCCACTGCCCTGCATCTACAGGACCCTCTGGCTACCGCCAGCTTTGGCTCTAACTCCGGACTTTATTCTTGGTGAAGTTCTGTAGAACTGGCAATTGTGTGTATATGGAGGTGGGGGTGGGGGACCTCTGCACAGAACTACTCAACCACAGTGGTGCCTACTCCACTGCAGGAGGTAAAGATCAAGAGTGGGGAATACTGGGCCACAGAGGGGAACTTGGAATTCTTGGGATAATCACTCATCTCATCCCAGGCAGCTCAGTCTTTGCTCTGAAACCCATAAAATGCCCACAGAACCAGCAAAAACAAAGTCCCAGCTCTGAGTAGCCCCAAGAATGGCTCCTGTGACCCTGATCAGCTTACTAGGGAAATTCAGACAGAAGGTCGGAGGGGACCCTTCTCCAGGCTGAGCAATGATAGTGAAAAAGACCTTGGGACATGGACAGTGAGTACTCAGGAGAAAGAAACTGCCCAGGTCTGGGGCTGCACCTGACCCAGGGAACAGCCTCCTCAGAGGCAGTTTTATGTCCCACTCCAGAGAAGGCCAGAGCCCTCGGACCTTTTCAAAAAATTAATCATGCCTCTTACTCAGGAGTTGGAGCTTACTCCTGGCCCTCATTTCCTACTGTTTAGTCCAACCTGGCTAAGAGGGTGAGGGAAGGTCTTTCGCTAACATTCAGATCACTTAAGAAGAACTGTCCTCAAATTCAAGGTGATGGGTACCCTCCCTCAAGGGGCTAGGCTTTTATGTTTCGTTCTCAACCATGGCTGTTTACGACAGTCCCAACTTCAAATTCCTCTGTGCACCTTCTCTCATTTCTAAACATTTTTTTTTTTAAAAAGAACAATCATTTGTCATAAGAGTTCAGAGTACCTAATTTTTTTTTTGTTATTCTAAGAAAATAAGACTATTAGAGAAAGACTTTAGTTACAGTTAAAATAGACAAGGTAACAATTTCCATAGCATGTATAGCAAGATTTGCCTAATACCTTTTTGTTTCTTTGGATAAAAATTACTTAGCTTCAGCATGTGTGTACATTCAAAATATAAAAAGCACTAGTTATCACTAAATTTGTAGAACTCCATGACCAAATTCCCTAATTAGTTAATATTGCTGGGGGACAGGGAAGAAGGCTTTATGTAAACAACTGGTTGCAAACATTTACACTGAGTCATCCGGAAAAAGCCACTGTCTAGATTTGGACACTTTCTGGAAGTGATCTGGGCTCTGGGCTGAATTCGCGTTATTCCACTCCATTTTTCGAGGTGTTATAAGAGGGGCTACAACATCACCATCCTGTCAAGGAAAGAAAAACCAGAAACAAAGAAAAGCCAGTTTTCATAACTTTGAGTGAAATCCTCATGTGCACCTATCCTTGTCTTGCAGATAGATTGCTTCTAGACATACTTACTCTTGGGAAACCCTAAATTACATATATGCCCTATGCTTGGGCCAAATTAGAAACACCACAGCCCTGAGCTGTGGGGTTTCCTTTGTAGGAAAAGCTATCAGACCTATTCTTTTCAAAGACGGCCAGGAGCAGGGCACCACAGAGTTCTGACTCCTCTTCCTTCATACACTTTTCACGAAACACAAACTCTGCCTTTCTTTTTTTGAAAATACCAATTGCTTTTATTTTTTTATATTATTCTATTTTTTTTAGGGAGAGAGGGGTGGGGAGGGGCAGAGGGAGAGACAGAATCTTAAGCAGGCCCCACACCGAGCGCAGAGCCCAACATGGGGCTCGATCTCATGACTCTGAGATCATGATCTGAGCCAAAATCAAGAGTCACATATTTAGGGCGCCTGGGTGGCTCAGTTGGTTAAGCGACTGCCTTCGGCTCAGGTCATGATCCTGGAGTCCCGGGAGTGAGTCCCACATCGGGCTCCCTGCTCAGCAGGGAGTCTGCTTCTCCCTCTGACCCTCTTCCCTCTCATGCTCTCTATCTCTCGTTCTCTCTCTCTCAAATAAATAAACAAAATTTAAAAAAAAAAAAAAAAAAGAGTCACATATTTAACTGACTGAGCCACCCAGGCGCCCCTCTGTCTGTTTTTCCAGGAAAAAGAGGGACTTCACTAGATCCCTGCTCCTCTCTTGCCTAGTCCCCCCCTACAATAAATGATATTCCTCTTTGGAAGACCCTTCTGGCTCAAAGTCAACATTATTTGCCTTTAAACTCATCTCCATTTCTATCAAGCGTCCTTATTTCTACCCATTCTAGTTTCAACTCTAGTGAATTTTGCAAATACAAACTTGAATGTCACTCTCCTGCTTCAAACACTTTAATGGCTTCCACTGCTCTTAGCCTACAGGACTATGCAAAATGCCCTGGACCCCTCCCCTAAAGGCACCATGCTCTCGCCCATCTTCTGGCCTCACCCCCTCCACCGACTTTACCCAGCTGACTCCATCTCATCCATCCTTCAGGTCTCAGCTTCTACGTCCTTCTTAGAATAAGCCTTTCCCAACCAACCAAGTTATGGCTTAAATCCCTCTCCTTCTGGCTCCACTAAGACTCTGTGCGCCCTACCCCAAGGCACTTACCACACCGCTACAATTGTTATTTACTTGTGTGCCCCAACAAGACTGTGGGAACTGTGTCTGTCTTAGGTACTGTTCCATCCCTGGTACCTAACATAGGACCTGGCAAAAATCCCCATTCAATGAGTGGATGTATCGTCGTTTTAAAGTAGTTATTGCCAGATGGCTGAACTTCAACAGCCTCTTGTCTCTCTACTTCCAGTCTCTCCAAGTTCCAATCCACCTGCTGCTAGTTTTCTTTCTTAATCAGTGGTTTAGTTTCCTTAGGTGCTACAGTACCTAAGACAGACACACTTCCTCATCCCCATGGGTCTTATTCTAGTTGGAGGTAACAAATGCAGGAGTAAGTAATGATGGCAGCACCTAAGGAAACTCTTGAAATCTCTCAATGGTTCCCTCCCCACTGTTCATATGAAGTCTTCCTTAGCTGATTATGCAATGCTCTCCATAATCTAGTCTATTCTTCCCATTCAACCTCTCACCACTCAGCAGTAGGGACTCTTGAGTCCACATAGCTGGTCTCCTCACGGCCCCCAAACACACTCCACTTGTTCCAATTTCATGCCACTGGGTTACTCCTCTAGGAACTACATCCACCTTTTCTCCCTGCTACTCAAACATAATCCAGCCTTCTGGACCCAGCAGAATCGCTTCTCCTTCAGAAGGCTTTCCTGACAGCTCTCTTAACTCTTAGAATCCTAACAGAACTCATCTGTATCACTCCTTCCGGCACTTGATAAAGTACCGACTACCGGGTTGCTCCTTCATTTTGTTTCCTCCAGCACCCAATGCATGGGGGTTGGGGGAAGGCAGATCTGGTGTTGTGGGAGAGCATC